CACCTCCGCCTCCACCGCTTCCCCAACCTCCTGTACGGCCTCCACCACCGCCTGATCCTCCACCGCTGCCTCCGCTTCCCCATCCACCACCACCTGGACGGCTTCCGCCACCACCTGTTCCTCCGCTGCCACCACTTCCACCAGAGGCCCAGTCTCCTGTTCCTGGTTCATCTCCGTATGCATTACGAGCGGTACGATTGGCAGGTACTTTCATGCCACTGACTTCGGACCAAATTTCGCGAGCGGAGGTCTAAGTTGAGAAATTTTGAAGGTTTTGAAAAATAGGAAAAAAATATTATACCTTGCAGAAGCTAAGTTCGCTCTGCATGGCGCGACGAACATGGTGGACATAGTTGTACACCATGGGGAGAGTAGTGGCGGCCCCAAGAATGGCGACCACCGAGAAGGCGACCGCCGAGTAGGCCACAAAGCGATAGGCTATACAACGGTGCTGCCACTCAGACTCCATGTCGATGATGATGTTGAGTAGCCTGCTTTCGCGCTTATATACGCTTGTCATACAACTTTTAACCTTGGTAAATGATAAGCAGATTTACTCTATATCAGTTCGAATTTCGAATGTGACGCAGTCCAGTAAACTTAAGCAACAATCATAACCTAGGTCGCTGTGACCATGAACACCTATGGAGGCAGACATAACCTCTCCCACTACTCCCTTTTTTTACATTTTTGAATTGAGTATTTGCTTGCAAATACGATTAGCAGATCTAAAAGTTATTCAAATAAACAATGATGCTAGATAGACATCAGTAAACATGTGTAATTAGCATTTTGAGTTTTTGCACAATCATAATCAACTATTTGAGAGAGAGGCGGATTGAATCTGAGTACGGAAGGTTCAACACGAGAACTTGCTCTTAATAGGCAAACAGGATATCTCCTCTTCCATCATTTATGACACTTCTAGATCTAATCTCCATTCACAAATGGTAATCGAAGTGTTGTTAGAAGAGTTTTCAGTTCTGCTTATTATTTAGTTTTTTTTTTCTAAAATCCATTGCTGGAGCACTCAGTGCTCATTAGAACCATTTCAATAAAACCAACATTGAAATTTTCTAAATCTTTCAGTTCTACAAAATCTCCTAAAATTTCATTCGTAACCTT